GTGTGCAATAAGCACCCTTCCTCTTGCTAATCTGAAGCAGGGCCAGGGGCCACATCACTCCCGGGGAAACTGATGAACGAAGGCAGGTGAGGTTGCTGATAATATGGGGATCCTACAGCGTCAGTTCCCAAATCTTTTTTATGCTGAGTCATGTTTCTGTCTGAGGCGATGAACATCTGAGCAGCAAATAAAACCATCGCATTGTGTTATTAGGTATTTGAGGAACATAATAATAAATTGACTATGATGAATGTACAAAAAAGGCTTGTCAGCTATTTATTAGTAATTTACTCATACTTGGCAAAACTCTGCAAAGACGGGTTGTACCAGGCTCCTAAGTACAACAGTGAACCAGGGGGTCAGCTTGGACTTTGACTCTGATATATATATATATATATATATATATATATATATATATATATATACACACACACACACACATACACACGGCATGAAACACAGCTCTTTCCGACAGGGCGACGGATAAGGAAAAAGAACAGGAAAAAAACTTCGGAGGGGCGGTGAAAGGCCAGCAAGTTCAAGTGGATAATCCCCCCCTCCCCTGCTCATCCTCCTCCTCCTCCTCTGCTGCCTCCCTCCATCTAACGCCCCAGTGCTTCAGAATAAAAATGACAACACGTTTTCAGAGCCCGTGGACCTGCACACAGCCAGGGCACTTCATTGGGAAGTGTGAGGCCGTTATTGACCATATTTCATTACTGATTTCACTCATGTTTCAAATCTCAAAATAAGACTTTCACGCTCGAGTGGCCAGACCCAAACCTTTCCTCTCCAGCCTGTCTGTCCAGCCCTCAGTCCGGAGCCGAACCCAATTCACAGGGGACTCAGCCTCCTCCCATGCACCCTTCACAAACTGTCAGGATCCCATACTACACTCCCAACACACGCAGCAGCAGCAGCAGCAGCAACGGCTCCCTCCACATCAAATCAGAGAAACTGCCAGCTAAGCACTTTCATTAAGTGGACAAAAGGAGAGCTTTGGGAAAAATACTCTGAAAGGAAATAAAAAAAAAAAATAAACAAAAAAAACAGAACAAGAGCATGAACTGTTTTAGCCCCATGGACTCTGGAGAACTACAAACTTCTTCCTCCACATTGCTTTATTGATTACTCAGAAGGTTTTGAACTCTGCCACTCTATATCTAAACTGAGCGAAACTTTGTTTTCACTCAGTTTCGCTAACGGAACTGAATGAAAACAAATCTGAAAATTTAGCTCGCAGATTAATATTCATTTGAAAAAATAAAAAAAAATACTTGTATTTTAAGAAAGGCAGGACTTTGTTTCCTCCCTCCGTGTGCCTCCTCCTCTCCCTCCGTCCCATTGGGCTGGTGTAAGCCCTCTCCAGAGAGCAGGGAGCCAAGCTAATTAACATAAGCCTAATGAGCCTTTTAATTTTTTTTTTTCTAATTAAACGAGCTCCTCAATAATACATGAAAACAGGACACCGCGCTATTCAATTACTGACGTATGGGCCACGGCCAAGCGCGTGCCTTAATCTCTATGTGTGCACGCCAAGTGCCAGCTTGTTAAGTGTGCCAAGCATGTGTCTGCCAAGTGGCGCATATGTGTCGGCTTGCGAGAGTGTGTCTATTGTGGGGAATATGTGACAGGTCGTACATATCATGCTGGGTAATCCACAAAATGCCTCTCTGCCAGCCAGCCATGAGCCCACGAATTCTCTCAGCAGCAATCATGCCACACGCAGTCAGGGCAACCGTGGTCAATTATAGCCAACATCGGGGACAAACATGAATCTAAAGTGTGAAACTGTCTAAGTTCTGCAGGGGGATGTCTCTTTGTGGACTCGTAAACAAAACGAAGAGGAGGAATCATACTGCTTCAGCGCTTTCCTGTGTTTAACTTAGAAGAGGGTAAATACAGGCAATGCCAACTACTTCTTGAGAATTTCTTACTTTTTTTTTTTTATCGCTCTTCTTACCACCATTACAGATATTGCTTTGAGCTTCTTCACAACTTTACCCCGTGTCCCTCGGTCTTCATGATGCTGTTTGTTCACAAATAATCGCTAACGATCCTCCGAGGCATCCACAGTACAGCCGCTTCCGAAAAACAAGTTATTTTTAGTAAATGTGGCAGGAATTCGTCAGGACACGACGTTATTTTTCTGCAAGTGATCGTCTACCTTTTGTGCGACTGTCGAATTTCTCCTGAACATCACCTGTGACAATAAAAGACACACACACACACACACTCGCACATGTGTGCGCTCGCAAAGTAGACTGATACCATCTCTCGCAGTCAGCCAAACCTTCTCTGAGCAACCAATCATATAGAAGATACAATCTCAGAGTTTCTTTTGCTCTGCGCTCAGATCCTCCCCTCTATTATGAAAAAAAGAAAAGAAATATGATTTCGGAGAGTGGTGGGGGGTTGAGGGTGGGCAGGCAGTAGTAGGCGGGTGCCTGTCAGCGCAGATGGAGGTTTCTCCGGAGAAGTCGAGACACGAAAAAAAGAAAGTCTTCCTTGCTCGCCCTGTCTGTCTCTCCCGTTTTCCCTCAGAGAGAAGGAGAAAAAAAAAAAATCTAATTATCGAGCTCCTAAAGATCTCATTATTGGCTGAGGCTCATTTGCATGTGTGAGAGCCGCGCAGCAGGAGCCAACCTGGGGACGGCCATTTTGAACCAGATGTGTGCCGCTATGCGGTGGCTTACTGTCACCGTAAGAAGTGACCACATTAAATGTCCGCTTCACTCGAACTTATGCTCACTCGCCGCTTTTTCTGTTGCAAATGCAATTTAAATGTGATCATTGGTCCTGAAATGGCAGTAATTAACAATGTGTCTACCTTTTAGCAGCGAGGTTTACATTGTAGTCTGATAATTGCCTGACTGTGACTTTCATCTCTACACAAATTTTTGATCAGTAAACAAACCGGTCTTCTGTGAAAATATGTCAACGAAGAAGCCCAAAAGTTGCAAAGAAACTTTATATAGAGGGACGATGGTTTGTTCCCTCAGGCTACCACAACAGGGAGTTACCAAGCTGAAGGTACCGCAGCAAAACCGCTGTATTTTATCATTTTAAATAATTCTTGTCCATCTGTTATAGTACTTTTTATAAAAAATGCAGTCTAAAAAAAAAACTAAAACAAAGTTTAGGTTAGGTTAGACTTACAGGGAATCCACAAAGGGACAGCTGATATGCTAACCATGCTAACTGTGCTAAATGCTACTGAGGGTGCCAAGTACAGCTTAAAATGCCATCTCTGTAAGCATTCCGTTGTTGTTTTGCAATCATGAAGCCCCTAAAATTGGGGAAATTGTGTATAACTGCAGAGGTGTGCAATCCTGACTGCTCACTCTCATACAAAAAGTTAATTGTGGACCAATCGAGTCACAAAAACTGCTCATGGCTCATCATAGCTGCAATAAACAAATTACGGATTTAATAAACTAACATATAAGAGTTAATCTGAGTTATTGACATTAAATTGTCCACAAAATCTTTGATTTGTTGTTGTAACTGGCACATATCATACAACAACCCACTTAATTAGCCACTAAATATAACATCGCACCTGGGGATAATGCTGACCTTTGACCTTTTCCATGAACTTTCTTTCTGAAGGATGAAATCCAGGCCCAGTGCCTGGTAAGGCTTTTAAATTGTTATATTTTAAAACTACAAGTGCAAAGGAACTCATTTAAAACCATTTCAATGTGCCCAAGAGAAACACAAAACACACATCAAAGTCACTTAAAAACACTCGGTGAATTTGCATTTGTGTTTGGATTTCTGCACTGTAAGGGTCCAGTCGCAAACACACACTCACTTGCATGTAGATCCAACTGTGTCTGGGTGTTTATGTTGGTAGGATGCGAGCTGACAGCTCAGACAACAGAGACGTTGCATGAATGCCCTGCGAGTGCAGGGAGGCTCTGCAGGTCAGACAGCAACAAACAGGACAAACAAGACAGAGACGGAGAGAGTGGAGGCGGCGTAGAGCTGGATCTGTACGTGTGTGTGTGTGGGAGAAACGAGGACGAGGGGGAAGGTTGAACTTCTTTCATGTAGAAGACGTGCCTATGAAGCAGGTCAACCAAATGCATGTTTGACCTGCATTCAGTCCTATTTGTGTGTAAATGCTTCCGCGTTGACACATCACAGTTCTTTCCAAGATCTAATCTTAAGAGGAACTGTTCACAGCAGGGGCATCCTTATTCTTTTGGTGATTTATTGTATGATTACTTTTTTTAGTAATTAAAGACAATGTCATAAAGCAAGTTTTAAAAGCTATTTAACAGTAACAATAAGGAATATTTTATCCAGTGTACAACCGATTTAAGGACCAGTTCTGATTCACGATGAAATGGTGAAACCCAGATTTTAATCATGCTTCATGTTAAACATGTTTGTCAGTAGGAAGGACTATGATGTGTTGATTCTGCTGTATGTTTGTTAAGTGGCATAATAATGCAACAGCCCGACTGCCCAACACACCTATTGCCCCACTCTCTTTATGCGAAGTCCAGTTAAAAAAGGAAGAAAAACAAACTTCCCATTCTGCATGCAATCGTTCAACTGTAAAAATGTAAAGAAAAACACATTTGGTATACACTGCAGAGCTTGTGTCCCGCTCGCTATTAAAACCTGCTCAAGTGTATTTCAGTAGGGATCCTGCACTCCGGCTAACCTCACTTTCTCTTCTTTCTGTGGTATTCAGCTCTGAAAACAACTCGCTACCCAGAAACTACAAAGGCCTCATTCAGTCAAACTAACACACATGCACAGACACACACAGAGAGAGAGAGAGAGAGAGAGAGAGAGAGGGTGGGATAAAGATACATGGAGACAGCATAAGAAAGGAAAAAAACAAGAGAACATGGTCCTGTATTAATCTGTGAAAGTGACATGAAAAGGTTGGTTGAAAAACGACGATGCAGCTGCCAATAAACGTGTCCCTGAAGGGGACGGAGCAACTCTCGGGATGCTCGTCCATGTGTGTGAGCTCAGACCTGCACGGGGCTCTGCTTGACCTCGTTGCTGCCAGGGGAGTTGAGACCAGAGGCCTGCTGGAGGAGGAACTGTCTGGCTGCCTGGAGTGCCTACAGGAGACAGGAAAAAGGAAAAATGAGAATCATGCACGCAGTTCCTTTAACAAATATATGTTTCTTTACAGGAAGGAGGTCCCCCATGCGCTGCTTTACATTAGCATAATGTGAAGCGATTATATTAAAACTTAGCAAAAATAATTAGTTCTTACTCTTTTACATTTTCTGCTATTAGAACCACAAACTTTCACTGTATCTTAACAAACCAAAATTCAATAGAGCATAAGCTTTAATTTTTTTTTTACAAATGCAAATTGGACAAAAAAAAAAAGAGTGCTTTTGGATCCAGGCCCAATGTGTGATACTTTGTAGAAACACTTTTCTCTGGTGTCCCTGGTGTCCATTTCTAAGCCTTTTGCAGCTTCTAGCTGGTTTTTCTATAGATCCATCCATTTTCCCATTAACACTAACAAGCGTTGTTGACACTGATGGTTGTCCTGTCAAGTGGACGGTCACGTAGTGATTCTGCAGTTGTCCCCTACTATGTATTCTCACCTTCAGATCATGGACAGACCATCGCTCTGTGAGACTTCCAAACTTGTGATGTTGTTTTATAACTTAACTTTGTTTTAAACTTCTCCAGAACTTTATCTGTGACCTGTCTGTTGTATTTCTATGATGCTACTTAATGATCTCGAATGATCCTTGGAGCCCTTTGTAGAACATCGATTAAACTAAGATTAAATTGCACACAGGTGGGCTCTACTAATTTTGTCATTTCTAAGTAGTTGTTCAAACTTTCATTTAGGGGTGTCAGAGCAAAAGGGTTCAAATAAAAATGCATGCCGGATTTTGTAGGTCTTTCTTTTGTTGTGAAAGAAATGTTTTCTTTGCACTTTACAGTCATATGCTAGTTTGTGCAGATCTAAACACATAAAAAACAAAGTGAATTCCGAGGTTAGAACTCAATGTTAAAAAGCATAAGTACTTTTGTGAGCCATAGTGAGTAAATATGTCTGTCTGACTTGCTTTAGAGTGCGAATATGAGGCTGCCTGTGTCTACATTTATTACCTTTAAAATGTCCTGATTCCCAACTGCCTTGCTCTTTGTTTCTCTACCCATCCTCTCTGGTTTACTCCACTTTCCACAACCCTTTTCCTCTCCCTTGCTCCCTTCTCAGAGGCCAGAGCAAACTGGCTTCTTCACATCCTCCGAGACAGAAGTGTGTCACTCCGTTTCTATGCACGCGCCCTGAACTGTGTTTGTGTGTTGTCACAGTGATGCAAGGAACTGCTTGCCCTGATGAGACCCGAAAGAGCCGTGACTAACCACCACCCACCTCTCTTCGTTTTTCCTCCTCCTTTTCCTGCTTCCCCCCACTCCGTCTGCCCTGCAGTCCTGTCCATCTACACACCAGTGACACCATCACTCACCGGCTCCATTTCCAGCCCTTCACTCTGCCCCTGGGTGTTGCCAATTCATCCCCACCAATACTGCAAACTAAGCCATTTCTCCTACTTTCTAAGCACATCCTTTTCTCTCCCCAGCCGCTGTATTTTGTGCCTTTCCTGTCTCCATTGTGACAACTCCGCCTCGCAGCGTTACAGAGTTAACTTCTCCAGCATTAGCACCAAAAGAGAAAGTAGCTTTTAATTTTTTATTTTTTTTTTTGGCTGGAATGTTTAACCAGCCCCGAAAACAAAATAAGAAAACACCCAGTTCATAACACAAGAGCTGCCTTGCACGTACAGTAAGCGCACACACGGACATGCAAGCGCAACCTCATGACGGAGGGTTAGCGAGGGGAGACAGCAGGATGCACATTTGCTTCCTCTGACTCAAAAGGGAAAGGTTCCTTAGTAAATATTGATTTATGAAAGTCCCTGTGTGTGTGTGTGTGTGTGTGTATGCGTGTGTGTGTCTGTGCAAATTAACGGCCAGATTGAGGGACAGTCTATACAAAAGCTCTTACTCAACCACTCAGTAGAAGAAATCTGTCTCATTTCACAACTATAGGGAACAGTAACAAAATGCAACACAGATTGTACAGCACGGCTTATTGAACAAGTGGTCGAATTAGAAACCCGGGTACATTAAGTAATGTTTAACTAGAAAACAAAGTATAAGGAGAGATTAGACTGTCAGGAAAAAAGTTAGAGAGAGAGAGAGAGAGAGAGAGAGAGAGAGAGAGAGAGAGAGACGTTCTCTGTGCAGCCAGAGTGATGAAAACCATCTGTAGCGAACATACTTGCTACTTTCGCCGAGACCTTAATTAAAACACACACATGGACGTGCCGCTACTCTCTCCCGTACACACACATGAATTTTAACACTTTACCAAAAAAAATAAAAAAATAAAAAAAATCCCAGGAACACTACCCCTCCCTTTTACTGGTTTGACCTCAGCATTAAATCAGGCACAAACATACGCACACGTACACACAGACAAACACAACCGCCCAGTTTGTTGGCATGTGGTGTGAATTACTCCTCGAACACCCTGTCTGCCCGAGAGCCAGTCTGCGTGTGTGTGTGTGTGTGTGTGCGTGTGTG